GCCATCATCCACTTGCCGTCCAAATTTCCTATTTTGGAAACTTATGGCCACCCTCGCGGACACGTGGCAATACTGTGCGATTACTAGTTCTCGGAAGCTCATTGTACCTCCGCGCTGTATTGGAAAATGTCCCAATGTACTAACACTTCAAACACGACCAGGTACCTTGGATCCCGGAGTGGATGTGACCGAAAGTACGGACGGTCCGAGCTCAGCCGGTTTGGTACACCCATGAACTGTTGAAATACAGAACCTGAGTTCGAATTTCCATGGAACTACATAAAAAATATGCAATATATATATACATAAAAAATATGCAATATATATATATATATATATATATATATTTTTGGAGAGAATGGAATGATTGACACGTGGCAATACGGTGCGATTACTCGTTCTCGGAGTCTGATTGTACTCCGCGCTGTACTGGAAAATGTCCCAATGTACCAACACTTCCAAAGACGACCAGGTACGGACGGGTCTAGTTCAGTTGGTTTGGTAGACCCGTGAACTGTTGAAATACAGACCCGATTTCGACTTCCCATGGGACTACATCAAAACCATACAATAAATTGTTTTTTTTTTTTTTTTTTTTTTTTAAGAATGAAATAATTCTGAACGACCTGGGGCCGCGATACGTACTTCGGCTTTGCATGGTGGTTCTTGGGAGTTGTGGTGCGTTTGTGGAGATCCCGTCTATATTACTCTCTATATTACTCTATAACGAATTCGACTATCGATTGATACCCAGCGTCCCGTGCATATCTCGTATGCTCTGCGTGATGCTGTTCTTCTTGCTGTTTTTCTACCTGGGGCCTGTCAGCTTAATGATGATGATATTTCAAGGCCATCGCCCTTTCACCCCCCAAAAAAATGAAAAAAAAAGAAGAAAAAAAATCAGAATAAAAGAAACGAAAAACGACCAGGTACATGATGTACCTGCCTCGTACATTGAAGAACAATTCAGTCACGGGCGACTCACCGCTTCCCGCTGTACTTGAATACCTAGGCTACCAGCCCGGGCCGCCCCGGGTCCCGGGTGGCCAGCCCGTGCAAGGACCAGCGAAGGTCCAAGCCAAAAAAAAAAAAAAAAAAAAAAAAAAAACGACTAGAAAAATAAATGGAACAACTTTTGCGGCAGGGCCACATCGAAGTTCTTCACCGAATTATATATATATATATCTGTTTG